TATTGTTTTGTATTTGTCTTTGCCCTTGGTTGAAAATGTAACATTTTCCTTCAAATATTTACAGGGAAATGAAGAGTTAGACTGGAATTTATTGAAACCAGATATCTATGCTACAATTATGGATTTCTTTGCATCTGGCTTACCTTTAGTTACTGAGGAAACACCTTCAGGAGAAGCAGGTAATATATTGGGTAATTAATATTTATCTTTTTTTTTAAAACTGTTCTATTTTCTTCACATTTGTCTTGATTTCAGAAGTCATGGGACTATAGATTTTTATCATTACACTATATTTAGCTCTGGAACCAATCCAGAGGGGACAAAATTTCATGTGTAGTAGTTTCATCCATCATTTTATAAAACTTGTGTATAAATTGAATATATTATACAAAACTAAAATTTTCAATTATAAAAATTTTCAAGCATATAGAAAATAATATTATAATGCTCACCAGTTTGCCCTCTTCTCAGATTTAACAAAGGTTAGCTCTCCGCCTTAATTGCTTTAGACTCATTTCTAAATAAAATATTAAAGACATAGCCAAAGACCCAGAACTCCCATCCCTTTTCCCTTTCTAATTCCAGAAATGTATGTAAATTTAGTTTGTTTTTAGACTTCTACTACACATTTAAGTCTCTGCAGGGAATTTATAGTATTGGTTTTTGTTCTTAAACTTCAAATAACTTGTGTTATATGCAACTTTCCTTTTTTCACATATTTTGAAATACATCCATTTATTTATTTTAAGTGCTGGATAGTATTCCATTATATGAATAAATTACAGTTAATTAATTTTTCCCTTTATATTCGAGTGAATTGTTTGTGCTAATTTCTGTTACAGACATTGCTGCATTGGGTGTTCTTGTACAAGTCTCTTTGTACATTTGTGGAAACCTGCTTTAGAGTACTTTTAGAGTATATTCCTAACAGCAGAATTGCTGTATCGTAAATTGTTCTAATTTACATGCAAATTAGCAGCGTATAAGAATTTCAACTTTCTTTTTTTTTTTTTTTTTTTTTTATAAATTTATTTATTTATTGGCTGCATTGGGTCTCCATCGCTGTGCGCAGGCTTTCCCTAGTTGCAGGGAGCGGGGGCTACTCTTTGTTGCGGTGCGCAGGCCTCTCATTACAGTGGCCTCCCCTGCTGCGGAGCACGGGATCCAGGTGTGCAGGGCTCAGCAGTTGTGGCTAGCGGGCTCTAGAGCACACAGGCCCAGTTGCTCCGCGGCATGTGGGATCCTCCCGGACCAGGGCTCAAACCCGTGTCCCCTGCACTGGCAGGCGGACTCTCAATCACTGAGCCACCAGGGAAGTCCCAGCTTTCTTATATCTTATCATCACTTTGTGTTTACTTTTTTTTTTAAATCAATATGTTAGGGGTAAAATGGTGTCTTGTTTTAATTGCATTTCCTTGATTAATATTGAGCCTGAAGGTTTTCATATAAACATATGGCCAGTATTCATATGACTGGCCAATATTTTCCTTTTCAGTAAATTTACTGTTCATAATCTTTGCTGATTTTTTTAAAAAATTGAATTATGTGTCTTTTTTGTATTGGCTCTAGCAAGTTTTTAAAAAATATTCTGAGTATAAATCCTGAATATACTATATATGAATTAAGCATATTCATAGCAAATAACTTCTCCCTAACCATGCCTTATATTTTCACTATATTTAGGTTGTCTTTTGTCATTCAGAAATTTTTTCTTGGGCTTCCCTGGTGGCGCAGTGGTTAAGAATCCGCCTGCCAATGCAGGGGACACGGGTTCGATCCCTGGCCTGGGAAGATCCCACATGCCATGGAGCAACTAAGCCTGTGCGCCACAAGTACTGAGCCTCCACTCTAGAGCCCGCATGCAACAACTACTGAAGCCCACGTGCCTAGAGCCTGTGCTCTGCAGCAAGAGAAGCCACCACAATGAGAAGCCCGTGCACTGCAACGAAGAGTAGCCCCCACTCGCCGCAACTAGAGAAAGCCTGTGCACAGCATCGAGGACCCAACACAGCCAAAAATAAAAACAAACAAACAAAAGTTCCATGTAAGAAAAAAAGAAAGAAATTTTTTCTTATTTTAAAATACGGAACGTTTCACAAATTTGTGTATCATCTTTGCAAAGGGACCGTGCTAATCTTCTCTGTATCATTTCAGTTTTAGTATTTGTGCTGCTGAAGCAAGCACAGAAGTTTTTCTTTTTAATGGAGTCACATATTTTCATCTTATCCTTTGTGGTTTCTGTTTTGTGTACATTGTTTTAGTAAGTTATTTTATGTAAAGCACTTGGAAGAATAACTTCACATGGATCTCAAATACTAGCTGTGATTATTATATTTGTTGTTGATGAAATTTTTCCTTTCTCCAGTATCGTACAGATACTGTTTTGTGTGTGTGTGTGTGTGTGTGTGTGTGTGTATGTATATGTATACGTATATCTACACACACACAAACATTTGTATAATCACCTTTAAATGAATCAATTTCACTTCTAGATAATATATATTCTAAATGAGTCTGATAAATGTACACAAGACAACATGTGGAAGCATGTTCATTGAAATATTTTAAAAATATGTTAGTTAAAAGGAGTAAACTTGATTAGGAGATATCAGTGTGGAAAGATACAAAAAATATTAAGTGATAAAGGAAAACTGAAGAGTTTATTTACATATTCTTATATATATACCATTTATGCAAATTTTAAATAATAATACAAATTTTAAATTATATGTGTTCTTGATGGACACATATGTAAAATTGATATAATGTTTTGAGAGCTATTTAACATCTACCAAAACTTAAAAATCCACTAGCCTATTGACCCAGCACTAGGAATTTTTTTTTAAAGAATTCTTTCTTTTTTTAAAAAATAAATTTATTTATTTATTTACATTTTATTTTTGGCTGCGTTGAGTCTTTGTTGCGGTGAGTGGGGGCTACTCTTCATTGCGGTGTGTGGGCTTCTCACTGCGGTGGCTTCTTGTTGCGGAGCGTGGGCTCTAGGTGTGCGGGCTTCAGTAGTTGTGGCACATGGGCTTAGTAGTTGTGGCTTGCAGGCTGTAGAGCACGGGCTTAGTAGTTGTGGCCCACGGGCTTAGATGCTCCATGGCATGTGGGATCTTACCAGACCAGGGCTTGAACCCATGTCCCCTGCATCGGCAGGCAGATTCTTTGTGCCACCAAGGAAGTCCAGCAGAACTAGGAATTTATCTCATAGGTATATATGCAAAAATACACCGATATATACTTTACGTAAGCATGTATATTGCAGGATTGTTAGAAATAGCAAACTAGAAACAACTGAAATAATATAAAAACTAGCCAAATGAAGACAAAGCCATACAAAAATTACTCTGCACCTATTTTTTAAATTGAGGCATATCTTTATATGCTGATATGGAAAAACCTTTTAGGTATATTAAATAGAAGAAAACAAGGTATAGAACAGTGTGTATAGTGTGTATAAATATAGCCTTGTAAATGTAAACATATACTAGAAGGATGTACACAAAAGTCATGATAGTGGTTGCCTGTGGAAGTGATGGTGTGGAATGGAACTTAGGTTTGCTGATGTAAGAGAACTTTAGCTTTATTATATTTTATTTCTTTTATTAAAAAAATCAAAGTTGATATAATTTAATATGTTGATACTTATATTGTTGCCAGAACTCTAGTGTTTGTCACAGTGTAATTTGAATTAGCTGCATTTTAGTTTTCTCAATAGTAAAGAAATTTTTCAAAAAAATGTAAAACCCATAAAAATAGGCATATGTGAAAATCGGTATATGACCTTACAAAGTAAAAAAAACAAAAATGAAACAAAATGAAAAAACCAAGTTTTTGCTCAGATTTGTAAAACATTTTAGAATTTCCATAAGGCTTACATCTGTATTTAGTATGATTGTCATTTTGAAAACCACTAAATTGAGAAATTGAAAATATAACTTAACTTACAAAGCAGGTGTGCTGTTTTGTCTCAAAGTTTTCATCAAAATTAAGACAATATCTTTCCTCTGCTACTTTTCAGTTCTTGAGAAGGATGAGAGTTTACAAATATATTGGCCAAAAAATTCAAACCCTAACATAATTAGTAGATCAAATTATTTCAGTATTCACATTTATCGCCAAATGTTGATCAGTGCTCCTTAATTTTTCTTCAGATAATCAAATGAATGACCTTTGCATTTCCCCTAAGTTAAAATCACTCTGTTTTAATGTTTGTACTTGCATGGATATAAAATTTCTACTGTTGATATGTTTTATTCGTAATTGTTTCTAGGATCTGAAGATGATGATGAAGTTGTGGCAATGATTAAGGAATTGTTAGATACTAGAATACGGTATGTGCTCATCTTTCTACCTGAGATCAGATATATCAATACTACAGAGCCAATTTTCACTGTAGCAGTATACCTTTGGTTTGTCTCTGAGGTTGTAGTAGAGTTAACAAAATAAGTATAAGTTAATGTAAACCAAAATAGGTAACCATGACAATTGAATTTAAAGCCTGTACATTCTCTATATTCATTCACAATATATAACACTCTGTCTAAACATAATAACTTATCTTTCATGGTCACCATTTGGGTTTGATATTGTTATAATACCAAATTTCTTAGAAAGAAAAAAATGGCTTAGCAGTGTTTGGGAGAATTGTGAAGAGAGGAGTACCTCTTTTCAGGCTGCTGCCCCAAAAGAATAAATTTAAATGAGTAGAGAACCATAGGGTTCCACTTTTGCTTGTAGCAGACCAGTGGTCCTGCTGACAATTCCCAAAAAAGCTGATAAAATCCAAAAAAAAATTTTTTTTTTTTTATTGGACAGTATTAGATAGCTGCCAAAGCAAATAAGGTTCTGTAGAGAGGGGAAGCACATTGAAACTTCCCTTGGGGCATTCGCTGATTCTTTTTTTTTTTTTTTTTTTTTTTTTTTAAATTTATTTAATTATTTTTTTTTGCGATATGTGGGCCTCTCACTGTCGTGGCCTTTCCCGTTGCCGGATGCGCAAGCTCAGCGCCCATGGCTCACGGGCCCAGCCGCTCCGCGGCACGCGGGATCCTCCCGGACCGGGGCACGAACCCGTATCCCCTGCATCGGCAGGTGGACTCTCAACCACTGCGCCACCAGGGAGGCCCGCATTCGCTGATTCTTAATGTGAGGTTAGAATATGAGAAGCTGGGCAAAGGGCAGTCGCTAAGAATCAGAGAAACTATGTTGCTTTCAGCAAATTTGTGGAGATGGGAAGACAAAAATTAAAATTCTGAGTTACCAATGAAGCTTTGATTTTAAAGGGCAAGATCCCAGAGAAAAGGAAAAAATAAGCCTTAATACTCAGAAGTTCTCCCTACATGGCACTTACTTGTTCTTAGCTATGGAGGAGAAGAGACTAAGAAGTCAAACAAAAAGCAGTTGAAAAGCTGAGCAGAGTTTTGGCAGTTTTATGGTGCTGGGGGTGGTGACAAAAATTGGAGTTTAGGATCTGTCCAGGAGTGTGGGGCCTCGAACACCCAGGCTCTCAGTCGGGCTCTCTAGAGGACTATGCCCTTGAAAGTGGACAAACCAGGGGTAGACCAAGCCTTACAAAACTGTAGTCCAGTATTGAGTGAACTTAATTCCACAGCGGGTTGAGCTACTGCCAAAAGATAGGGTGACTCCTTTCTGATGTAATATAATCCTGAGTCACTTCAGTTTTTCATATACATTGTTCATCATTCATTGTCCAAAAATTACTAGGCATGGAATTTGGAAACTGGACCAAGAGAAAATAAAACAAATCCATAGATAACCTAGATGTGAGAGTTATCAGGCATGATCTTTAAAATAACTGACTTTAAAAGACTTTAAAAATGGTCCACATCAAAAAATCTTTTAAAAAAATAATAAAAAAAAGAGTAAGTATTCTTCATTCTTGGCATTATCTGGGAATTGATAAAATTACTAATTTATATTAGAGTCTAAGAAATCAAATAGGCATCTTGTGTAACAAACACTAAATCAACAGTAAAAGACTGTGTATAACCAAGCCAATAGAGGGGGAAAATGGAATAATAAAAATTAATACGGGGACTTCCCTGGTGGCACAGTGGTTAAGACTCCACACTTCCAAAGCAGGAGGCCTGGGTTTGATTCCTGGTCAGGGAACTAGATCCCACATGCGTGCCGCAACTAAGAGTTCTCATGCCGCAACTAAAAGTTCACGTGCCATAACTAAGGAGCCAGCAAGCTGCAAATAAGGAGCTGGGGAGCCGCATCTAAGGAGCCCGCCTGCCACAACTAAGGAGCCAGCAAGCCACAACTAAGGAGCCCACGAGCTGCAACTAAGGAGCCTGCCTGCCACAACTAAGACCCAGTGCAACCAAATAAATAAATAAATAAATAAATAAATACTTGTTTAATCCAAAGTAATGCAAAATGATAAATAATAAGATGGTACTATAAACCCAAACATATTAGTAGTTATATTTTAATGTACGTAGGTTGATTAACAAAATAAGATTGTCAGATTGGCTATCAAAAAAAACCTATATGCTGCTTGTAAGAGGTATACACCTTAAATATAAGGACACAGAAAGGTTGAAAGTAAAAAGATGGAGAAATATATAGCATGCAAAAAATGAATAAGAGAAAGCTGATGTAGTTATACAGATATCAGACTATACTTTATAGCTAAAGATATTACTAGCAATAAAGAAATCTTTCATAATAATAAAAGGGTAATTTCTATGAGGAATATATACCAATTTTAAACTCATATGCATCTAATAACAGCTTCAGAATAAATGAAAGACTATTTGAGAGAACTAAAAGGAGAATTAGATAATCCACAATTATAATGGGAGACCAACACATCTCTCTCAATAACAAATAGAGCAAACATATAAAATGACTCTCATAAGATATGAGAGTTATACACATGATTAGCAAAGTTGACTAAATTGACACACATAGGACATTGCACCCAACAAGAACAAAATACTTATTTTCTTCAAGTGTACATGGAAGATTTACTAAAATAGGCTGTATTCTGAATCTTAACGCTGAACAAATTTTAAGGATTGAAATCATTGAGAATATTGTTTTCTACAGTGAGATTAAGCTAGATGTCAATTTCCAAAAAAGGTATCTACAGAATCTCTATGTATTTGGAAACTAAACAATGATCTTCAAAAAGACCTATGGTCAACAAAGAAATCACAAAGGAAATTCAAAATAGAATATCTGCATGACCTTTGGGTAGGCAAATTTTTTTTTGACAAGACAAGACAAACTAAGGGAAAGACATATAAATTGGACTATAATAAAATTGTGACTTCATCAAAAGGCATCATTTACAGTGAAGAAGCAAAGCACAGATTAGAAGATATTTATATATATGGCAGAATATATTTAAAATCTCTTACAAGTTGTTAAGAAAAAGACAAATAGGGACTGGAGCAGTCTCTTCACAAAAACACTGGAGTAGTAATTCACAAAAGACAGTAACCAATTGACCGCCAAACATGAAAAAGTGCTCACTCATCCTCATTAGTCATTATGAATATTCAAATTAAAACTACAATGAAATACCACTGCAGATCCACTGGAATGGTTAAAATTATTAAGATTGACAGCACCAATTGGCGTTAAGGATGTGTGGAGCAACAGGAACTCTCATGTACTGCTGGTGGGAATATAAGTTTATGTAACTTTGGGAAACTATTTGGCAGTATCTACTAAATCTGAGCATATGCATATTCTTGATGAGCAGTTCTACTCTCAGGTACATTCCCAGCTGTAATATATATGTATACCAAAGGACATTTGCAAGAATCTCCACAGCTGCTCTATTTGTAAAAGCAAAAAACTGCTGTTAACCCAAATGGCCATCAACAATAGAATGGATAAATTCTGGCATATTCACTTAATGGAATACTGTGCAGCAGTGAGATTGAATGAACTATTACTATATGCCACAATGTAGATGAATCTCACAAAGAGCAAAAGAAGCCAGATTAAAAAAGAGTTAATACTTTGTGTTTTCTAAATGGAATTTATATTTATAAATTATAAAGTTAAAAAATAGGCAGAATTAATCAGTGGTGATAGCAGGGAGGATAGTGATTACCATTGGTTGGGAGGAGTGATTAGAAGGAAGAACAGGGTGACTTCTGGGGTTGTAGTGTCTGTTTCTTGGTCTAGAACAAATGTATGTTCACTTTGTGAAAATTCACTGAACTGATCATACATGATTTATGCATTTTTCTGTATTTATATTTCAATGAAAAGTTTAACTAGAAAAAAAAAGCCAGCACATGTCAGTCTCACTCTGTTCACTTAAAAGAAGTGAATGAGTATACCTTAGGTAATCAGTATAATTTTTAGGAAATTTGAAATCTTAAATGCTTAAGAAAGATTATTAATAAGCAAGATTAAAATGTAATAAGCAGATAAAGTATTTGTATGAATGAATTTTGGCATTTTATCTGAAAGTTAAAAAAAATTACAAATGAGACTAGCTACAGTTGCTGTTCTTGATTATAAAAGTAGCTCTAACTTTGTGCATTTATTAATATAAAATCTAAGCTCTGAGTTTTGTTACATTTTTTTGACAAAAATTTCTATTATTTTAAATATATCACAAATATTCTGTGGCTGCAGGCCAACTGTGCAGGAAGATGGAGGAGATGTAATCTATAAAGGCTTTGAAGATGGCATTGTACAGCTGAAACTCCAAGGTTCTTGTACCAGCTGCCCCAGTTCAATCATTACTCTGAAAAATGGAATTCAGAACATGCTGCAGTTTTATATTCCAGAAGTAGAAGGTGTAGAACAGGTATGCCAATATTGCATGACAGTTTAGATTTAATATTAAAATGAATTTTTTGGAAAGAAAAGAAATTCATGACCTGACATTTTCTTCCAGGGCTATATCGTTGTGTTACCATTGTTATCAGACTTGCAGGCTCCTTATTTAAGAATTAACTTTAGTATTATGAATTACCTACTATGTGCCCAGCGTTTTTACAACTATTACCTCATTTATCTTCTGACGACACAGTGTATTAATATTAAGTAAGTCATTTCCATTTTGTACATGGGAAACAGACTCAGAGGGCATACTGCTGCTCTAGAAAAGTTATGCAAAGGGGATTCAAAACATGATGAAATTTTATAGATGAGGTTTAGAAGTCTTTAGTGGAAGAGCTCCACTACTTCGTATTTAAACACTTCTTCTTCTTAAATGTGCAGGCAGGAAGCTCATCAAGAAATCATACTTTGTTGTACAGTAAAACAGACTGCTGAGTAGCGTAATAGAGCTTTATCTATAGCCTGATGTCAACATTTTTTCTGCCCCAAGATATCTAAGGAATATAGTAGTACAGTACTTTCTCAGCAGTGATAGTGACGTTCACTGCAGTAATTCTCAAACAAGAGGCATGGCCTTATGGAGAGAGATTATCAAGTAAGGAAAGAGCGTGTGGAAATTAGAAATTTGAAAAAACTCTTCAGGTAATTCTGTGCCTTTAAGGAGAGGGCATCATCTCCTCTCAGCTCCTGTGAGACTCACTCATCTCTGGGTAGTATTTAAACCTGTCCTTTTGGTACAATACATGCCGTCTCCTCTCTGAAATAAGACAGTCCTTCACTTGGAATTAAGCTGTACTTCTGTGCAAAGCTTCTGTGTTTCTGTTTCAGTTTTCTGTTCAGGGGTAATTTCCTTGAGAGGTTTGTAATCGTATCTAGGTCTTTGTTTTCTTCAACACTTAGCCTTGTGTGTTGTAAATGTTGTTTACATAGTTTGTATTAAATATTTAGAAACATTCCAAATAATATTTTTGCCTAAAATAGAAGTTGATTGACAAAATTTTTTGGATTGGGTGCTGCTGAGATTAGATATAAAAATATCAATTCCGGGCTTCCCTGGTGGTGCAGTGGTTGAGAGTCCGCCTGCCGATGCAGGGGACACGGGTTGGTGCCCCGGTTTGGGAAGATCCCACATGCCACGGAGCGGCTGGGCCTGTGAGCCATGGCCGCTGAGCTTGCGCGTCCGGAGCCTGTGCTCCGCAAGGGGAGAGGCCACAACAGTGAGAGGCCTGCGTACCGCAAAAAAAAAAAAAAAAAAAATCAATTCCTTGGAAGTAAATATCCATTTTTTACTCAACCCAGAAGAAACTATGAGGGAATTGTTTTTCCATTGATTGTTTCAGATCAGAGCCAGATTCATCTGGATTTTTTTAAAATTAATTTTTGTTCCATTATCCTCTATATGCCTTTTTTTAAATAAATTTATTTATTTTACTTATTTATTTTTGGCCGCGTTGGGTCTTTGTTGCTGTGCACAGGCTTTCTCTAGTTGCGGTGAGCGGGGCTTCTCTTCGTTGTGGTGCGTGGGCTTCTCATTGCGGTGGCTTCTCTTGTTGCAGAGCATGGGCTCTGGAGCGCAGGCTTAATAGTCGTGGCGCACGGGCTTAGTTGCTCCACGGCATGTGGGATCTTCCCGGACCAGGGCTCGAGCCCATGTCCCCTGCATTGGCAGGCGGATTTTTAACCACTGCGTCACCAGGGAAGCCCCCCTACATGCCTTTTTAAAAAATTACAGTAGTTAACACTTTGGTCGATTGACAAAGGAAGGTTTTTATTCACTTGTCCAGGGTGGGGTGATGAATTGGCAGTCGGATTATAAACCTGAATTGGCATATAATTATAGTAGATATGGTGAAGAGAGAAAATAGTCTTAGGTTTATATAACTCTTTTCCTTTCCAAAGGAGTTGGTTTTTAGTATCTGAGTAATATATTAACTCATGAAAAGATACTAACCTGTTCTTTTTTTTCTTCAAGTATTCATTAGTATCTTTCTTAACTTACTTGAAATGAAAATCTTCACATTCTTCTGAGGTTTAAAATGAACTTTTATGTCAGTAAGACCAAAATAATTAGTTGCTAGTATGATATTTTGTTTCTTTACCTTTTTTAGTGATTCGTTTTTCTAATATATATTTTTACAGTAACAATTTGGTATAGCTCCCTAGAATATATTTAAGGAAATAAGATGCTTTTGGGAAAAAAAGCAAGAACGTCAGTTATATATATTAGTCATATAGCTAGGAAATACCAGTTATCATTATAGTCTTCTCTGTCCAGCTGAGACTCTGCTATTGGAAGCCTCCTTTGGGACAAGGAAAAGAGACCAATGTTTTAATTAATTTGCTAATATTCAGTTTGCTTTTATGTTGTTAGAATATCAGGTTATGATGCAAACCTTGTGCTTCGGGGGCTGTTGGTAGACTTATTCTTATTGGATTGACATGCATTGTTATAGATTAGAGTATTTCAGGTAAGCAAGTAATATTAAAATCAGGAAAATAGCAATTTCTAATCCTTAATTCTTAAATTCTCTTTGTTTTTTTGTTTTAGGTTATGGATGATGAATCAGATGAAAAAGAAGCAAACTCACCTTAAATTAATTTGAGTTTTCTTTGGGCCTACCAGTTGGACTTGATGATATATATACTAAGCTTTTATTACTAATCTGCTAAGGAACTTGAGGATTAATAAAATATACCCTTTCTTCAGAGAATGATATATAAATATTGCATGTTTGCTTTACCTCATACGAGTTATTTATAACATCCTGAATCATCTTCTGTACACGTGGATTTTATCCAGGGATATTTTTATTTTTGTTCTTCATTTCTCATGGTTCCTTCTTTGCATAATGTGTGAAGCAGTTTAAAATACATCCCCCCCAATCTAATTTATTTACTTTTTTTTTTTTTTTTTTTTTTTTTTTTGTTATGCGGGCCTCTCACTGTTGTGGCCTCTCCCATTTGCGGAGCACAGGCTCCGGACGCGCAGGCTCAGTGGCCATGGCTCACGGGCCCAGCCGCTCCGCGGCATGTGGGATCTTTCCGAAACGGGGCACGAACCCGCGTCTCCTGCATCAGCAGGCGGACTCTCAAGCACTGCGCCACCAGGGAAGCCCTATTTACTTTTTTAATACAGAAGTAAATAGGGAGAATCTTTTTAAGATATTCTAAAATGGCTTAGCTTTTTATGAGATGTTTGAAACTATGTTTACTGAATTTTTACCTTGTTAAAAAAACACACTAAACAATTTTTAGTTTTAAAATGGTATCTGCCTAGTAGCCCCCAGTGTAGTATCACATAACTTCCCACTGAAAGACCAAAAAAAAAAAAAAAAAGAAAAAGAAAAATCATAATGCTGAAAACTGATGAAGAACCAAGTTCTAGAATGTAGACAGAATTTCCATTGATTACAAGACAGAGCAGGCTGAATTGAGAAAAACTGCCTTAGTATGCTCAGGCTTTACCTTATGATACAAAATCTGTTCGGAAAAAAAGATGTGAAACTGCTTGGTCCTTCTACTGGCTTCTCCTGACTCAGAGATCTGTAATCTGTACCATGCCAAAAATTTGGACAGTTGTCTTTCTACCATATGTGTACTACTTTTTCAGGTAGCCCAAGTAGCAAATTATCCTTCTCTCTTGTTTTTCTATAGGAATTCAGAGTCAACAGTTCACAGACAATATCAGGAAAGGAAAGATAGGTACATTGCATCTTTGGAATTCTGTTCCCCAAAAGTACTGAGATTAAAATAGAGATGGAAACAGGAAGAACTCCGGCAGTTAAGAATGCTGGGAAGAGAAGTTTTAATTTTTCTTCTTTTGGTTCACAGAACCAGGCATTGCGGTTGGAGAATTTGTTTCCTGAGCCATTATAGATGAATTCAGGTTAGACTATGGGAACTACTGTGTAAGGTAGGCACATTAACTTGCTGAAGCTACAGGAAATTGAGATTGTGGAGGAGATGCCGTTAATGACAAGTCTTGGGTCTGGCCACGAAATAAGTGGCTGAGGTGAGTGGGGGATTTAGTTACTGGAAGAGGAAATCACAGAAGAGAGAGGCCAAGTTATTGGAAAGATTTTCTACAAAAGGGAGCAGCCATGAAGAACAAGGAGGAAAGGTGGAGAAGAACATTCTAGGCATAAAGAATGGTGTAATCAGAATCTGGAAGCTGTGGAATGTATTTGGGAACTGCAAGAAGCTGAGTAGGACTTGAGTGAAAGGTGGAAGGGCTTAGCTGGAAATGGTGCAGAGGTAGGCATTGGGTAGTGAGGAGAGTGCTGCAGAAACTCTTGGTTGCCTACTCAGCTTACACCCCTGCTTCTTGCTGAGAGAGGCCCTCTCAATTATCATTTGCTTGCAGTGTGCCCACGGAAGGTAGGTCTCACTGAGTCCCAGGGGATAAATTATAACTAGTTTAACTCAGACATTTTAACTCCTTTTTTCTTTTCCAGTCATTAGTCTAGGTATGGACATATGACCCAACTCTGCCTATGAGCTGTAAGAGAAAGTCTGTTGGTGAACTCTGGAAAGGTTTTCTTCCTTGATTGAGAGAGAAGAAAGTTTATGTAAAGAAGGCTCTTTCCCTATCCATTCCTTTCCTTCCTGCTTGGTATACTGTAATATGAAGACTTGATGTCCAAGGCTCTGACAGTCAGCTTGTGATCATGAAAACCAGTTCACTAAGAATGGCAAAGAGGAAGGAAAACAAAAAAGGGGGCCTGGATCTTTGAGTCAGCCTGGGAACCACCAGTGTTCAGAGTATCATGTGAGATAAAAGTTGTTCTTTTTACATCAGGTATTCTGTCATTTGAAGCTGATTGCCTTCTAACAAAGAGCCTGGTAAATCATGGAGAACTTGGTAAATAATTTTACTGCTTTTTTTATTTGTGGCAGACAGTGCCAAATGTCAATCTTAAAATGATAAATTCACATTTTTAAGTTAATTGAGCCACTTTTTCAATCAAAGATTAATTTAGGTGTAGTTTAATCACGTAATAGTTTTACATTTTGAATGTTGAAGTTATATTTAATTTCCTCCCACATAGCCCCAAAGAAAGAGTAATCATTCACTGTTAGTTGTGTTTCACTAAAAAAAAAGTAAAAATTAACCCCCAAAATGTGCAAAATGTTTTTACACGAAGTATTCTTGAAAACACTTGTTGGAACTTCCCTGGTGGGCCAGTAGTTAAGACTCCACGCTTCCAACGCAGGGGTCCTGGGTTCGACCCCTGGTCAGGGAAATAAGATTCCACATAACACAACTAAGTCCTCGTGCCACAACTAGAGAAGCCCATGTGCCGCAACGAAGACCCAGCACAGGCAAAATAAATAAACTAAAAAAACAAAGACAAAAACTGGTTGTCTTAAACAACAGAAATTAAAAAACCAAAAAAACACTATGGGACATTTCAATATGTATTTGAAACTGAGATTATTGGCCAAAGCACCTGGAGGGTTTTTTACTAAACAAAATTAGGGTGAAGCCTGTCAAGGAGTGGGTAATTTCCCTCTCTACCACTTTTGAGTTCTTGTGACTGGACTAACAATAAAATTGACACAAAATAGATTAACAGGAGAAAAAGAAACAAATTTTAATTCTTGCACACAGAGGTCTCATAGTAACGGGACCTAAGAAGTGGCCAAAGCAGTTAGCTTTTATATTTTTAGACAAAATTAATTTGAGAGGAATTGGCAGAACAAAGAAATTTAGGTTTGGGTGCTAATTAGTAAGGAATTTAAACAGTTTGGACTTGGGTAGTGAGTTAGGAAGGAAATAACAAGGTTTGTTTAGGTAGTCTTTTGGCCTGAATTCCCTATCTCTGGTGATAAGGATGTCTTCCTATCTCCCAGTACAGGGAGGGCACCTGTCACACGGAAGATTTATTTCCTGCTTTCAGGGAGACAGGAGGGTCAGAGTCCCTCTTGTATCAGCCATTTCTTAAGTAACTTTAATTCAAAATAATATGACATTGAGGCATATTTTGGGGTGCCTGCCATGAGCCCCACCAAGCCCTAATACAGAATGATAAGGAGCAAAATATATAAAAATAGACTTTCATTGAGCATTCACTATGACCCTGTTCTCAGCACCTTATATTTATGAAGTCATTTAATCCTATGAGATGGGTAACTGTTATTGTCCCCGTGAGGCACAGAGAGAAGTACATATTCCATTGCCATAGAAATTAAGTGGAAAAGCCAGGAACATGGACCCTGACATTCTGGGTGCAGAGCCTATGCACATTGCCATTAGGGAATTGAGCCCTCGTACCTTTCCTGAGTATTCCTACCTCAGGGAAGGGAAAAGCATTCCTTGTCTTCATAGGTGCTGCTTCCTAGTGGACCATCTTTTACTTGCTCCAGACCATCATGGGCCAAGTGTGTACATTTGTACACATCTGTGTGCATATGTGTACATTTTTTTCACGTAGGAATATGAAGCTGGCTGCTCTCCAGTCCAGTGGGAATTTACATCGTCCCTTTGGGAAACCCCAGCCTTATACTGTGCTTCTGCACATTAGGGTTATCAACAATAATTCCACAGGGTGCTTGCAGTCCGCAGAATCGACTTTTGAAAGAAATTCTAGAAAACAGTATTCTGTCTCCTTACATTTGGAGTCATCTTTCAGCTGTAGGCAGCTCCCTGAATGGTCCACCTCTATTTTGGCTCTGATCACATCCTACAGGATAGAAATAGTAGATAGGACCAGTTAGTCTCATGGTTTCCAATTTGTTGACAATTTCTTGGCAGTAGAATGAGTTTCTTTCTAGTAGAGGTAGAAAACTCTGCCCCAGGTTCTGCCTACTGGGGAAATTTGGAGCCACCCTGGAGGTGAGTATTGGGGAATGTATTAATTCTAGTTGGAGTCAGCACACTTTGTTCTCAAGCCTGAGGAGTGAACATCTTTTGTTAGTGTTGGTGTCCCTTCATTCTTGTAGCCCTTTCCTTTGAGCCTTCTATCTATTCCTGACTCTATGTGGCTCTGGTGGAACTGTCCAATCACTGTGTCCTACCTTTGCCACCAGAGTGGGGCGTATGACTCACTAGACCCATCAGAATCCTTGCCTAAATATAAAAAGTGAGGATGGAGGAATAGCCTCTCTCCCCTTGGACTGCAAGCTGTAAAGATGTGGTTCCAGAGCTGTTTTAGGGTCTTCTCCCTGTCCATGAGGTCAGAGAGAGAATCAAAGCGAGTTCTGACAACATTTTTTGTGTGCCTGGATATAGATGTATCTGAAGCTGTTTGTATCTCTGTCCTTTCCAATTACATTAGCCAATAAATCCCTCTCTTCAGCTAGTTTGAGTAACTTTCTATTTTTTGTCATTGAAAGCTCTGTCCTCTAGAAACTTAAAATAAATACATATATTCACGTTGAGGAAGTCAATAAGATCACCCTTCGATGGATGTATATTAGTCAGGCTTTCTAGAGAAACAGAACTAGTAGTGGGGAAAGGGGGAGAGAGAAATTCATTTTAAGGAATTGGCTCATGCAATCATGGAGGCTACCAAGTCCAAAATCTGCAGGATGGGCTGTCAGGGTGGAGACAGGGAAGAGCTTGGACTTGCAGTCCAAGTCCAGTTCGGCTGGGGAATTCCTTCTAGCTCTGGGGAGGTCAGTCTTTTGTTCTATTCAGACTTTTAGTTGACTAGATGAGGCCCATCCACGTAATTGTGCTTTACTCAGAGTTCACTGATTTAAATGTTAA